AAAAGGATAATGTAAAATCATTCAAAATCATTTATATGGACAACATTATTAATCTAAGTAACTTATTATTTAGATCATAAATATAAGTTTATTATTACTGCGTCTAATAGGCAAAGTTTATTATAATAATTAATTTTATCAAAATAAAATAGGCTAATTAAAATTTACCACATTTGTGTAATGCAATTTTTGTTGATGTGGTTTTAGGCCTATTCATTCATCTTACTTATATTATAAATGTGAAAGTTTGCGTGATTGTTTGTTTGTTTGTTTGAAGTTCAATCACGCATTAACTACTGGACGGATTGGGCTGAAATTTGGCATGATGATAGCTCACATTCCCGATTAACATATAGGCATATTTTTATCTCAAAATCCTTTCGGGCTCCGCCCCGGTGGCTCTGTAGTTCCCCTTGTTAACTTTGTGAGTATTCATATTTAAAGGGACTAGTGTACATGTTGCTCGAATTCGAGCAATTGCAAAGTATTACAGGAGTTATTTCAAAACGAAAATGAATAACAGTCATATTTAATGAGTTTAAAATAGTCACCTCAAAGATTGCCGGTGTGTAACTCAGACCATGTTTATCTTCGTTATTGATAAACCTAAAGCATTCTGGCCGGTTTTCTCCTTCTCATAATGCATCGCTGTACAGGCAACACAGGTCATTGATAGAGGGCCAATTGAGAACAAAAAGTCGTTTTGGGGTAGTGTTAGGGTGCATTTATAACTTAATAGTTGAGATTGTCCAGGGTCAGGTGCTGACTTGATGAGTTAAGCCTATTACGCGTCACTGTTCTGTAGCTGCGGTCGTTATCACGATTACGCCTCCTGTCTATGTTTCGTTGGCGTCACGTCTTAGGAATTTAAAAGAAAAAACAACAAATAAACAAATTATAGCTACACAAAACAACGATAAATGCACAAATTTAAGATACAATCATACTAACACGATCCGTCTTGGGGGTTATGTTTACACAAACTCAAATACTGTAGTAAATAAATGTACTCAATGCGTTTCATTGAATTGAAAAATAAATAACAGCAACTAAATTATACAGCTGATCAAAATGTAAACAATTGTGTTCTCCATAAGGATAACATGGGAACTTTCAAAGCCAATGGGGCAGATGCCAAGGGACTTTTTCAAAAATGTAAGGCCAGTTTGCAAATCTACGTGACACGCTCTTTCCAATGAGACGTCAATGGATAAAATCGGTTAAGAAATGGCGGAGGAGGTTAACCGACAAAGTTTCATGTAGCGTATTAATTATATAGATTATTATAAAGGTGTTATTTTATAATGTTAATACAGTACACAATTTTATGGCTGTCAAAGATATTAAATATGACACTTTATTTTCCAGATTTAATTTCTTACAAAATTGCTGGACTTGTTTAGGAGTTGTTCCTCTTCAACTTGAACCAATAAGATAATGCCCAACTTTCATTACAAACATTGTGTAGAGTTAAAAAATGCAAATTATTTTGTGCTGCTGTCTATTGTACAAAAAAACCAAAGGTAGCAGAGAACAAAAACGGTATATTTAATAATTCTTATGGAGAAAATATTAACTGTTGTAGTTTGACTAATTTGGTTTCATATTAACTGTCGTCAGTTCCAAATATTAACATTCGTCATTGCTATATTTTTCGGCGAGCTGCCATTTTCAAGCACACAGTCCAGGAATAAACATTAAAAAATCTGCTTGTACATTGTTGGTTTACACACATGACACTTAACACAAAACACATAAATAAATAGGTAATACTTTTAGTTGGATAGGCCTATCAAGAGTACAAAACATTGCCCTTACACAATCGGGAACAGACTGTTTAATGTGGGTTTTTATGGATTTATAAATTTAGAAGACATCCATTTTACTTCCCTTATGACAGTTAGGACATCTAGACCGGTGTTGATGTCATTCATATTGTGATAACTGTCAATTAGGTGTTGTGCAAATGTTGACTTCAGTGTGTCTGTCCTTGGGTCTGGGTGGTGTTCTATATAACGGGTTTTAAATGCTCGCCCCGTTTGTCCAACGTAAAAACTCGGGCATTTGGCACAATTTATTTTGTAGATTCCTGTTGACAGGGTTGGTACGGTCAGGGAATTTTGTTGGTCTGGAAAAGTCAGGGAATTTTGGAAAAAATCTGGAATTTCTCTTGAAAGACTTCATTTTTTACAGATATGCTACATTTTGCATCTATGTCTCAATACTTGGTCAAAAACATCAAAGTTTGGCGAAAACATCGATGTAACAAAAACATCGTGAACCTACCATCGATATAAAAAACATCGAACATAGACAGACATTCTATCTTCACCCTCTGATTACTGGCTTTAAAAGAACGAACCGAGCTAGTTAGTACCGTGATGCGTGGAAGGACATTCATCGTTTCAATTTCAATACGATACTGCCTCATTGTACAATTTATACCAATACTGATTCAACCTTTAATAAACTAAAAAAAAACTGCACTTGCAGGAGTTTATAGAAAAATATTTATCCTGTTAGTTGAAACATTTAATAGTTTAGTTTGGTACTACTTTTTGTCTCCGGTACAAGCATGGTAGTTATTTTTCCAATATCACATGTTTCTTCCGATATAAACCGATGATATCGCAAGCAAAATATCGATATATATCAGTATCAGAAGCACCATATCGTCTATCTGCCAGTGTCAAGTCAAGGCCAAGTAGAACATAAAGTGCGAGGTTATGTTAGTTGGTACTCTTACTTTTCCAGATTCCAGATGTTTAATTCTTTTCTTATTGGTTTTATGAGTAAACTATTTAGGACTACATTTTTTCTAATAATTCTTGATTCTGACTATTCGATATTGTCTTACGGTATACCTGGAAAAAGTATAATATCAGTCTGGAAAACCTGGAAAAGTCAGGGAATTTCATTTTCCAAAATCAGTACCAACCCTGTGTTGAGCTGGTTTTATCTAATTGTTTGAGGTGGCTATTGTCCTTTAAGATTTGATTGGCTTTGTTTGTTGTTCTAAAGGATAAAGTGATGTTATGGTTTTTCAGGTGTCTCTTGAGACTGTGCTCAATGTTTTTGTTAAATTCAACACATACATTACTTCACTTTTTCGTTTGATCTGTTTGGCGATGAGCTTATCAATTAGATTACATTTTTTAAGCGACGATGAATTTGATTGTATCCAATTCTATCTTGTAATTTTCAGTGTTTAGTGGGACATTAACAATCTGTGAATCATTTTAGGGTTATTTAATAACGCGCAATGGTGTGGATATGGAACATTTTATTGTCTTCTATAGTTACTACACAACACACACACATGAAGTAGAAACGAGGACATTACATAACCTCACAGCCGGCTCCGGACATAGGAAGAATAATACTTTCATTCTTAGAAAAAGAAGAAGTCATTTAGGCCTAAGTTACATAGACGCTTGATAGCCTAAAGATTGGAGCATGTACTATATGACAAGAATATAAATTTATCTTCTCTAACAAATCATACTATTGCAAGTGGCTTTTTTTGTGAGTAAGGATGGTAGGAGGTTGCATGAATTGTCTGAGTTGGAAGTGGTGGGTTTCCAAAAGATGTTGTATGGTAATTTGTTGTCATTTTTTCTATTGTCAAATCTAAGAAGTTAATTTTGTTGTTTTTTTTTCTATCTCTTGTGTGAATTTTAGCTTAGGTGTAATGCCGTTCAATTAAAACCGACAACGAAGCTATACAAGCGGATTTTTCAATGTTTATTCCTAATCTGTGTGCTTGAAAATGACAGCTCGTTGATACATGTAGCATTGGCAAAAGTTACAATTTGTAACTGACAACAGGTAATATGAAACCAATTAGTCATTATTAAATTTCTGGGGCTACTGCAATTTCTTTCCAAACCATTTTGTAGAGCACAAAAACAAATGATTTAGTATCATGAAGCGTTGTTGTATATCTAACGAACAGTTACAGAAAAATTCCAAAAAAAGTGTTAATTTAAAATTACCATGTTATTCTTATGGATAATTAATAAACTGTTGTGATTTAGTTGATTATGGATGTACTTTCATCAAATATGGTAGATTTGTTTGTTTCATACTAAGCTATCAAAACTTTAAAAAAACACACCTTATTACCTTCCCTGCAGCAGCAAACAAATCCAATCATTAAAATTAATGCTGGAAATTAAATGTGTCCTTGTTGCTCGAATTCGAGCAATTGCCAAGTATTACAAGTGTTATTTTAAAACGAATAACAGTCATAATTTCTGATGACTAAAAGATTTGACTCAAAGATTATGGAAATACTTAAGATGCACATAACAGATCGATTTAATCAACATTTCTTGTAAATATCTTATCATTTTTCAAAAGCTGATCTGGTTTTTAGTGTTTTCTACAAATAGCCTTACTCATAGCGGCATTAGGTTGTCCATAATAACGATTATAAATTCTAAAAAAAAACGACACTATTTCTATTTCTTCTCCTTGGTGGTGTTCTATGACTTTCTTATGTTTCCGCAGTTTGCAAATCGGCTCTTTCAATGATAACTTAGCAGCACAGTGTTAATTAAGTTTTCTTTTTAGTAGGTGTATAAAATTATCCAGGCTCTCTCACTTTTTTCCATTGTAATATTTACGCCAACCCGAATTCAAATAGTAAATGTTTCTTCATTCAACCAAGTCATTAAATGTTTGTAGCAAACTGTTAAATTAGCATCTTATTGACTGTTTACAATTAACATATGTTCTTCTCACTTTTAATTTATGACAACAGCTGGAGTTTCATAACAATGTATGTTTCCCATGTTAATCTTATGGAGAAATACAAAACTTTAAAAGGCCCCAGGGCCTTTTATCTCTAATTATTTCCCTAAAAAGAAAGTTTCATGCACAACTTCACGTTACGCTCTTTCCAATGACACCAAAAACATGTCAATCGGTTTAGTAGTTTCGGAGAAGTAATTGTCACAAAAAACCTGCTTGCGTATTAAATAAGTATAGATTAAAGAATTTAGTCAGCTGTTTCAACTAAAAAAGTTGGTTCTATGATATGCAAAAGCATTAACAAGTTAAAAGATTTACCAACAGGGTGCAGCACCATTATCTTTTTGCATTTATGTCAACAGCTAATTTGAACTAAGCAGTAACAAAAAACTGCGATACGCGATGAAAACTGTCACAGTGTAGGATTGTATACAGTTATGTTTATGTTTTTAATTTTGTGAATAATTTGTGATATTTTGCGAATTTTTGATAATTGATTTTTATCTATTGTTTAGGTGAAGTTAGTGGTAAAACATTATGGCTATGATAGATGTCTAATACTATATATAGTATACCGTAAATTTAAAGAAGCAAATTTTATCAAACTGTGTCCTCCCCCTTGCAAACGCAAAGCTTGAGTATAACTGCAATATCTGAAACTTTCAATTGGTTCAAAATGATGAAATGAGAGGATAGAATCAGACCTAAATACCCCCGCCGCAGCAAACCTGCAGACTAAGCGAATTTCCATTTGCCTGAATGGATTTACACTAAAATGTCTACTTAAAAATTTTACATTTATTTCCTAATTAAATAGAATTAGTTTAACAGGTACTTAAGTTTGCTGCATCAGGGAGGGTAAAACTGCTTTTTTTGTAAAATGTTAATAGTTAGTAATAAATAAAAACATTTTCCAAATTTGATCAAAATATGTTCATAAACAAGCAAACTACAACAGTTTACTTGTTCTCCATAAGAATAACATTAGAATTTAAAATTTACATTTTTTTTTATTTTCTCCGTAACCATTAGGCGCATAGTAACACTTCAATATACTAAATTATTTGTTTTTTTAAGCACTACAAAATGGTTTGGAAAGAAATTGCTAAATTTTATGTTTTTTGGGTCATAAATTGGAAAAACCTATTTTTACCCCATAAAACCCCCCGTAAACTCCCGTTCCCATAGTCCGATCATGCTGGTTCGCGAACTCGTTCAAGTTTATCCCGCCTTACACCTTCAAATCAAATTTTATCAAAATCGGACAAAAATTACTCATGTTATCGTGCGGATGGACACATATATATATATATGTATATATCTCTATATATAGATGTATAAAAAATTGAACGAATGGTGTTTTTGGCCTCTGGGGACATCAAAATGAAAAAGTAAATAGGTCCCGGGCTTAGGTCTTACCATGAGACCTACGGTAATAGCTACCTATAGGGAAATTCGCTAAAACTACAAGGAATACATAGCAGAAAATAAAATACAAAATTTATCAGTCTGAAACATCAATTATTACTAGTTAAGTAGGTATCAAGTAACAATTTTTCAGACCTGTGTTATTTTTAGGATGATTTTAGAGTGACTTGCTTTGGCTATTACAGTAGTAAAACATGTCCCACACTGCTTACACTTAACAAAAATTCTTATCATTTGCAATGTCAAAACAAAAAATTATAAAACAAAGCAATATTTACAAGTAAAGAATTAATTAAATAAGGCCTTCACAAAGGAAACGCAACATCAATGCGCCCCTGTATTGCGGGTATTGTGTTGACTTTCAGCAGGCGTTTTTCCTGTATGGATACTGACTCCCTCATAAATCAAATAGTTTTTTGATCACTACTGAATCGAATCGCGATTTGATTCATCAAATCGAATCGGAATTTCGATGCATCGCACACCCCTTCTAACTCAAGGCTAATAAAAAAAGGTTGCCTAAGACGTGCATGACGCCAAATCATGTCAATGCATTTTTTGTAATGTCCAATGACAAATAAATGATTCTGATTCTGATCACCTGCCAACCTGGCAGAGCTGCTTTTAATTCACACAGCTGACAACTGTCAAATTCAATGCTATTGTTGTTTGTTTTGTATACGTTCAGTGTGGATGAGTAAATTTCTTTCTGGTTTTTTTTCTTCCGTTTTATATTATTTTACTTTTTCAGTTTTATTTTTCATTCTTGTTTTATTTTGCTCTGTCTTATATTCTTTTCCTGTTTATAATTTTTGGTTTAACTAGCTTGGTTGAAATGCATGGTGAGCGATGTGCTGTTGCAGTGTCAATAGTCAAATGTAAACATAGTGTTTAGAGTTACATAGTGACAGACCTAAAATAGTTTATTATTGGTTTCCCAAGGACGAAGAACAATGCAAACAACAGGGCAACAGGCCTACTGCTGCAAAAAGGCAGATCAATAATTTAATCCTCGTATTCCTTAATTTGTTCTGAACATTTTACTGATGACAATTATGAACGAGATTTGAAAGCAGAACTGTTAAATTTAGCCCAAATAGGATTCTTCAGCCAGGTGCATTTCTATCTGTCTACCTATGTTTAAAGTTTCAACAACAAGAATAACTTGTCAAAATTTTAAGATAGTAAATGAAAGTTTTAATGAAAATGACATGTATCAAGTACTTTATTTAGTTGTGCTAAATTATCTCTTTGCTTGAAAACAAGGTTGACAGATGGAAATACACTTAGCTACAGAACCCTCATCTCTAGGACTATAAATCAAACAGTTAAGTTATAAAATCTTGTTTGTAATCATCAACAGTAAAATTTGTCAAACTAATCACGGAATTACGAGGATCAAATTATTTACTCAACTCTTTTGCAGCAGTTGGCCCATCGTTTGCATAGTTCTTTATCCTTACATTAGAGAATCTATGATAAAATATTTTAAGCATGTCATGAGTTTTTATTTGGCTATTATTGATACAGAATGTACCAAAACATCACTCACAAGGCATTCAATCACTTTATTTGACTTAAAGTATAACACTAAACAAGAAAAGTTTACTCCATCGCACAGACACAAAAACAAACAATGAGAACAAAATATTTAACAGGTGTCAGCTGAGTGAATTAAAAGCAGCACTGTCCGGTTCGGCGGGTGACGTCATGCATGCAACTTAGGCAACCTCTTTCATTAGCTTTGCTCCCAACCAACTAGGCAAAATGTTTGTAAAATAACCAATAAACCGACTTTTTATGTCATTTTTAATTTTTAGGTCAATTCTGGTTTTTTGTGGAGAGCCTGTACACAGATAACCTACTGAGATCCCTACTTAAAAATTAAAGACATTTATCATCAAGTGTGTGAAGTATGTTAAAATACCGTAGTAAATTAAAGTTCTGTTTGGAAATGGTGCATTCAGTTTTAAAAAGTCCAAACTAAAGCTTACCGAGGCAATGTTAGTGAGGGGAGCGGAGTGCAGTGCTACATTTTTAGTAGGCCGCATGGAAGGCTAGTGCTCAGGTACTACAATTATAGTAGCCCGCAGCAAACATGTTAAACACATCCATCATATCTCTAAGCCACAAGGCTTAGGCATTGGTACTTACATTCATGAAAATTTTAAAATTGTAGGTCCTAATTAAAAACACATCACAAAACCAAACTTAAAATGAACATTTTTGTACCCCGTGATTAGGACAGATTAACATTTGTGTACTGAGTGCAAAAATCCCATCTAGTCAAATGAATCTCAAAACAAACCTCTAGAAATATAATCTGTATCCAAGCCAAACTTTATCTGATCCCTTACATGGGATGCCTACATATATTATAACCAACAGATATGTACTACCTGTAATCTATATTAAAGTTGTTTAAACAAACAGTAATTTGGTTTCAGTGGACATTACTCTGAATTTTGGTATAACCGAACTTACTTATAGTACATGGGAATGCTGATAACTTACACCCTTTGTACTTATACTACTACATTAATAAATCCTTATCACTGACTTTTTTCTTGGAAAATACTGACACAAGAGGAAAACAATAGGAACTGTTGAGAAAACTATAGACAAGAGCAGACTACGGATCACTGTACCGTCCCTGCACCAGGGCTCGTAACAGAGGCCCCACCTCGTTGGGGTCGTGAAGAGCTTCTACAAGCATTTTCTCCACATTCCTCATTATGGCTACCTTCTGATTTCCTTTCAATGGGTATACTATCTGGCCCGTTGGTCCTGCCTGTTAACAGCAAGATGAACTATCAAACATATTGAAATGTCTACAAGATATTTTCAGGGCACACTGTCCTCTTACATCAGTGGTAGCAGTCAGCTTGTATTAATGTTAACTTACCTTGTACCAGAAGTTGACTGATACAGTGTAGCCGTTGTGCCTGAGACACTCAACGTGATGCCACCAATATATTGGTATATAGAGTACGTCCCCAGGACCCACAACTGCTTCTTGTCCACTCACCTCGGCAAACTTGGGGAATCTTGTCAAATCTGGTTTATCAAAATCAACCTGAAATGTAACATACAGTAAGTTACTTAAAAGTAAAATAATTTATGAATAAAAATACTTTTAAAACGTGGCATTTTTAAAAAGTATTTTTATTTATAAATTATTTTCTACTTTTTAAAACGTTTTTATTAGCTCGCTTTCTTGTTCGGTACAAATTTTGCAATCAATTTTATACTAACTTCCCGATGAGCTAGAGACTTGAAACTTGAAACATAGCTCACAATTGGATGACAATGCAATATTAAATCATTTAATTTTCATATTTCCCTTGTAGTCCAGGAGCTGAGGGGGTTTGAGCATGCATAAAAGTAGTACGTAATGTTATTGCTGATTATTGTAATATGGACTGTGGTGATCAAAATTACGTATGTCGCCTATTTCAAAAGTGGTCGATAAGGTGGGGGGGAGGGGGCAAACATGGCGGTTTGCGCTATGCGTTAAAACGCTGATATTTCGAAAACGGTAAAAGATAGAACATTGGTTAAAACGTCGTTGTAATTCTAAAAATGTGGACTACAATAATGGTTATTGAGTCCGAGGTCGTATCTCTATAAATAAACAAGTTATTGTATAAAATATGTAAAAATGGACTTTTCGTGTAGTTTTTTTTACCGAAAGTAGAATTAATTTGTGAGTGTCGCAAAGAAGTAATATCAAATATATTTGCTGATAGTTGTAATATGGACTGTGGTGATAAAAAATACGCATGTCGCCTACTTTTCAGGTGGTCGAGAACTTGGGGGGAGGGGGGCAAAGATGGCGGAACGCGCTATGCATTGAAACGACTGTAGCTCGATAACGGTACGAGATAGGACATCGGTTAAAACGTAGTTTTAATCCAAAAAATATGGCCAATAGAAAATGTTGTGGAGTAAAAAGTTGTATTTTAACTAATAAAAAAGTTATAACAATAATAAGTTTAACAAAATCCACATTATACAGCTATTTTCTTCAAAAATCATATGGATTGTTGATAAAAAATAGTGTAATTACTCAATTATTCGGCTAAATATTAACTAGATGCATTTTCTTATAAGAAAAAATATATTATTACGAATACATATGGTTTAAAATGTAAAACACGGCCTCCAAACGCTTTGGGGTTCGTCCGATAGGTTGCGTCATAATTGCTGCGCAGTGGCACAACTGTTAATCCTCCCAAAGTTCATTGCCTTAAAACTCAGTGATATCGGGGTTGTGAAAGTATTTGTACAGTTTAAGACTACTGACATTTATTGTGTTTTATTTATACAAATAACATTATTTTATAACTTTTAATAGTTATTTAAATATTTTAAATTTCAATACATTTTATTTTAAGTTGCTTACGTTTTTTTAAATTGTGTGTGGCTGGTTTTTATATACGTTTGTTCTTAGTGACTAGTGGATTAGGCAATTTTAAAGTAAAATTTCACCAACTTACAAAAGTTAGGTACCTATTTCAATTCAACAAATAATATGAACAACCAGTGTAATTGTTATGGACAGAATGAAGAAATTTACCGTATTTTTTATTATAAGGTATTTACTTTTGTAGTTATGTTTTTTATTTCATATAACTGTATTTAATAAGAATCTGTTACATAATCATATTGTAATAACCTATAACATTATAATTAAAATTGGATTTGTAGTAGTAATCTATATTATGCATTTGATTGCGGCGAAACCCCAAGTATTATACGTAGTTTGGAGGCCGTGTTTTACATTTTAAACCATATTTATTCGTAATAATATTTTTTTTTCTCATAAGAAAATGCATCTGGTTAATATTTAGCCGAGTAATTAAGTAATTACACTATTTTTTATCAACAATCCATATGATTTTTGAGGAAAATAGCTGTATAATGTAGATTTTGTTAAAAACTTATTATTGTTATAACTTTTTTATTAGTTAAGATACAACTTTTTACTCCACAACATTTTCTATTGGCCATATTTTTTGGATTAAAACTACGTTTTAACCGATGTCCTATCTCGTACCGTTATCGAGCTACAGTCGTTTCAATGCATAGCGCGTTCCGCCATCTTTGCCCCCCTCCCCCCAAGTTCTCGACCACCTGAAAAGTAGGCGACATGCGTATTTTTTATCACCACAGTCCATATTACAACTATCAGCAAATATATTTGATATTACTTCTTTGCGACACTCACAAATTAATTCTACTTTCGGTAAAAAAAACTACACGAAAAGTCCATTTTTACATATTTTATACAATAACTTGTTTATTTATAGAGATACGACCTCGGACTCAATAACCATTATTGTAGTCCACATTTTTAGAATTACAACGACGTTTTAACCAATGTTCTATCTTTTACCGTTTTCGAAATATCAGCGTTTTAACGCATAGCGCAAACCGCCATGTTTGCCCCCTCCCCCCCCACCTTATCGACCACTTTTGAAATAGGCGACATACGTAATTTGGATCACCACAGTCCATATTACAATAATCAGCAATAACATTGCGTACTACTTTCATGCATGCTCAAACCCCCTCAGCTCCTGGACTATTGGGCTACGCCCCATGGGCTTGTTTTTATTAGCTAGCTAGTCGCTTTCCTACAAATTTTGATATCAATTTTAAACGAAGTTCCAGATGAGCTAGAGACTTGAAACATAGCTCACAAATGGATGACAATACAATATTATATAATTTAATTTTAATATTTCCCTTGGGCTACGCCCCATGGGCTTTCAAATTTTCCATGTTTACATTTTGAAAGAATGTAATATATCAATTAATTTGAGTCAGCTGTAAATACTTAAATTTGACAGTTAGAAGAGCAGAGGTTAAGAGGTACAGGTTCTGATCCCGAGATATTCTAAAAATATAAAACAAGCATTTCAATGTAAAGATAAACATCTGATTACAGATAGGCTAATAAGGTTTTGGTTATGTATTAACAGGCCATATAAAATAGATTTAACATATTTACACATTAAAGACTAAAAATTATAAAATTATTTATAAATAAAAATACTTTTTAAAAATGCCACGTTTTTAAACGCACTAAAAAGTATAAAATAATTTATAGATATGTTGAGAGAATAAATACTTGTAAGATTTAAAAGGAAAAACGTGGGTGCATGCAATATATCATAATAGTTCAATAGGTGAAGTTAATTGTAAATTAGCATGCCCCCACGTTTTTCCTTTTAAATCTTACAAGTATTTATTCTCTCAACATATTTATAAATTACTAGTGGTCATCCAGTGGTCGAAAACTCGACCAAATATATGTAGGCCTAATGTACACGCATTGACTATTGGATACTGAAGTAGACATCCCATCTATATGTACCAGCTATCGTCATTTTTTTAAATTATAAAACATTGTAATTGTGTCAGCCATATAGAATGTGTGTCTCAAATTTTAATTTCTACCTTATTTTTTGTTGCTGACAAAGTTAATGGGTCATAACAGTTGCTATAGCTCATAATAAGTCATTCCAAAAGTTGACTTTTTTTTCTTTTTTTTTTAAATAGGTTGGCGGCCTCTTTTAACCTTGCATTTGCCCGTCCACATAGACTACAGATCTGTGCGTGGAACGTATCCAGCAAAGCAAGGGGAGAGCCGGTACAGTACAAAGGTGAACTGTACTGATAAAAGTTAGTGGCAGTGACCAGGATCCGAACCCACGACACTTCTGCCTTGGGCCCGAAGTCCGCGACGCTACCGACTGAGCCACCGACTCACCAACTTGATAAAAAAAACATAGTTTATTCAACAGAAATTAGTAATTATTTAGATCAGCGCAATCTGTTGATGTGGCTCACATCATCTACGACGAATTTAATTTAAAAACTGGTAACAACTTTAACATGGGAATAGAATGTCTATTTAAGTCCGTACTGCAGTAAGTGAAATGTACAGGCTTCGCCTCTATTTTCACCCCGAGCTGTAAATAAAACATGTGATTGGAACTTCTTCCATTTGTTTTGGATTTATGTTTATATGTATTTCGTTGTTACTTCGTCACCAGCATGGCAACCCATAAGACCCATGTTAATTTTTAAAAATTTCGAATTCATTTTTTGTGCTTATTTTTTAGCATATTTTAATTTATAAAGGGATTCTGCACACCTACAGAACAATATCTTTCTAACAGTATGCGTAGATTTTCCTGACGATGCGCACGAGCTGAGAAAAAAGGTTTTAAAGAAACATGCTTGCCTATTAATATATAGAAGATTTTATACTTTTTAGTGCGTTTAAAAACGTGGCATTTTTAAAAAGTATTTTTATTTTTAAATTATTAGCCTTTAATGTGTAAATATGTTAAATTTATTTTATATGGCCTGTTAATACATAAACAAAACCTTACTGTAATCAGATGTTTTTATCTTTAATTTTAAATGCTTGTTTTATATTTTTAGAATATCTCGGGAGCAGAACCTGTACCTCTTAATCTCTACTCTCCGAACTGTCAAATTTAAGTATTTACAGCTGACTTAAATCAACTGATATGATTACATACTTTCAAAATGTAAACATAGAAAATTTGGATGCCCATGGGGCGTAGCCCAAGGGAGAAATGAAAATTAAATGACATAATAATATTGCATTGTCATCCATTTCTGAGCTATGTTTCAAGTTTCAAGTCTCTAGCTCATCGGGAACTTCATTTAAAATTATTGATATCAAAATTGGTAAGAAAGCGAGCTAATAAAAACAAGCCCATGGGGCGTAGCCCAAGGGAAATATGAAAGTTAAATGATATAATATTGCATTGTCATCCATTTGTGAGCTATGTTTCAAGTTTCAAGTCTCTAGCTTATCGGTAAGTTAGTATAAAATTGATTGCAAAATTTTTACTGGACAAGAAAGCGAGCTAATAAAAAGGTTTTAAAAAAGACTATAACAGTCAAAATTTTTTAATAATTATTATTGATTAACATTGATAGTAACATAACAGTCAGGTGATCTGATCTTTATTGAACAGAGGCTTCAAAATGTGCTTTAACCAGGCATGAACCCAGAATTTTTAAAAAGTCCTCCAAAGCTTCTAAACGTAGCACTTTCAATATTCATCACTTATTCAATTTGATTTATTCCAGCTGTGAGGCTGTGTAAAAAAAGAGGTGTTCAAGAAACGTAAAATAAATAAAAAATTATTATTTTGGGTTTTCAAACAATACAAAATAGAAAATATATTTACCTCCAAACCCTGCCTCAAATTTACAAAGCATTGAGGCAAAGACCTGGACCAAGTACAAACACAAATACAGGACTATGAAATTGGTAAGAAGGATGCCTGTGATTTGTGCATGATAAAATGCCGGACATGTAATTTTAGAATAGGAAAAGTAGCATTTACCCATACTACACCCATAACAGGATATGATCACAGCATAAAAATATTTCCTTCGATGAAGTTAAGCAAATCTCCTCTCAAACGTTAGATTACTAGTCACCAGAATGCTAATGCTAAATACTTGGGACAAAAATTATTTTCACTTGTATTTGAATAAAAATTGAAATTGTCAGAAGAGTTTTCTACAGAATTTTTTATAACAGAACATAAACAAAACTGGCGTTGGAATGTCTTTTTTGCTTTGTGGTATAGTTTTGGCCATTTAATAACTAGCAATAACAAACATGCTACTACTGTTTAGCAGAATAGAAAACTGTAGTTTTTTATAAATACTCCAACTTAGTTTATTTATTACACTCAGCCTGGGGGCCTCCTTGGGGCCGCCTTATCACTGCATAGGTATAACCAAAGACAGTCCTATAAGATATCCTACTAATATTATAAATGAGAAAGTTTGGATGTATGGATGTATGGATGTATGTTTGTGACAAGTGAACGCGAAAAATACTGGTCGGATTGGGCTGAAATTTGGCATGATGATAGCTCACATTCCCGATTAACATATAGGCATATTCTTATTTCAAAAATCCTTTCGGGCTCCGCCCCAGTGGCTCTGGAGTTTCCCATGTTAACCTTATGAGAAATGGAATTATTGAATCTTAACAGCTGTTTCAATTAAACAAGTTGGTTCTGTTCTATGATGTTCAATAGCATTAAAGTTACAAGGATTACCAACAGGGTGCAGCACTATTATTTCTTTTACATTTACATAATTTATGACAACAGCTAATTTGCAACCAAAAGGTGAGTGAGCGTAGCGAACGAACTTCAACCTGGAGGCGAGTTAGCGTAGCGAACGAGCTAACCTGAAGGCAAGTGAGCGCAGCGAACGAGCTCCAACCTAAAGGTGAGTGAGCGTAGCGAACGAGCTCCAACCCAAAGGTGAGTGAGCGTAGCGAACGAGCTCCAACCTAAAGGGGAGTGAGCGTAGCGAACAAACTTCAACCAGAACGTGATTGAGCCATGCGAACGAGATAATCTTGAAAATTAAGAAGTTAAACGGGGCAAAGCCCCGCGGGTTACAGCTAGTTAATAATATTTATTTAAAATGCCACTAACAAATGTGATGATCTAACCTACTTGAAATTAAGTACTGGTACTAATGGCATTCTTTACCTGACTTTGTCTGTCATACGGATGATAAACAGGATATGGATAAAAACATTCAAACTGATCTGGAGGAAAGAGGATGAACCTTTTGAGTCCTCGGATCTGAGCAAACATGTTTTGTTGTTCATCATAATGACAGGGTGTCACATTTCCTGAAATAAATAAAGATATTACTTTCAAGGGCAGTAAGCACTATTTCTATTGAACACATTGACGAGGTCCACAATAAAAACAGTATTAAGAAACTAACAAAGCCTGACAAGATGTTATGAGTGGGGCAACTCCACCCCAGCTGTCCACTGTTTATATCTGCCACCAAGCTCGAGGAGACATCACCTTAAACTAGGGTAAACCCATCATCCTAGCATTGCAGTTCTAATTTCTGACTCCCAGCACATATCAAGTACAATTTTAAACCGTATTTATTTAATGTTTTGTTTTCACTACACATAAATAAATAACTGTAACAAAGGAGCCAAACTTGGTGAGTCGGTGTCTCAGTTGGTAGCGTCACGGACTTCGGGCCCAAGGCAGCGATGTCGTGGGTTTGGATCCTGGTCACTGCCGCAAACATTTTATCAGTACAGTTCACCTTCGTACTGTACCGGCTCACCCCTTGCTTTGCTGGATATGTTCCAAGTACGGGCAGTTAGTCTATATGGATGGGCAAATGCAAGGTTAAAAGAGGCCGCGAACCTCTTAATAATAAAAAAAAAATTATTAAGCTCACCTAAATCCCTATTACTATGAATGCAATACCAAGATTTGGATTTGTATTATAACTCTTAATAAACATTTTTGGGCCTATGTGAGAATTAATTTCACTTAACCAAAGAATGTCGACAAAACTTAAAAATAATTCAAATGTGTAGTTCTATTTGTAGCTAAGGGAATTATATTTTAAACTTCTTTTCAATGGAATGGCAACGAAGCTAATGCATATTTTTTACTTGATAATAAATGACAGGTAGGCCTAAATGTGATAATATGGGTTGTAAATTACTAACTCTGGCTGACGATTGGGCCATTAACTAAATAAAAAGTCAAGCAATTCATAACATGATAATGATAAAAATCTTAACATTTAATAATTGTGTTGACATGATTTTTGTGTGAAGTAAAACCTCAATAACAAGACTTTCAATAGCTTACCACCCCTGATAATACAGTGGAACCTTGATAAGAAGACCCTCGATAACAAGTGTCATTTTCAAATCCCCTTAAAATTATTTGACCCCTAATCACATGTTATTACAAATCTCGATAAGAAGTCAACCTTGTTAACAAGTCTTATTTTACAATCCCCATGAGCGTCTTGTTATCAAGGTTCTACTGTAAGTGTAATTTTGTAGGATACACCACTTGGTAACCCCCTTGATTTTGTAATACCCTTAATCACTTGTTATTGCAAGCCTCGATAACAAAACTGAATTGGTAACCAAAGCAGTTATATTTGATAATCCCATGAGAGACTTCCTATTGAGGTTCAACTGTATATGCATGTCTCATATGCTATTCATTTTAACATTTTGAAATATAGTAAAGAGCCTTTGGCTGGTGATAACATATCTTTAAACTGTGATTAGAAAACTCTTCACAAAAATTATTGAAAAGGTAAACTGTATGCAGGCAATTGCCCTATGGGACCCCATAAGCATGTATTTAAAGTGAATGAATTATAAAGTGAGAATGTTTCAATATAATTATTGGTACCTTCCATTCCAATAAGGAGCAAATTATACGTTAGAGGACCCCATCCATGTTTCTTTTGCTTTTCATTGATCCAGTCCCAACGAAACCCTAGAAAATCCTTTACAATCTCAGGTCCCATTGTGTTGTCTAGCATTTGCTGTAAATATAACCTGTAAATTTAAAATGCCAATTGTTACAAAATTGCTTTATTTTTTCAATTCCTAGTTCATTTACTGGGTTGTCAAATAAGCCTGTATACACAGGGTGTTACTTAACTCTCTACTGACCTTTTAAGGGATTATAGCTGGGTTCATAAGAAATTTAAATATCACATGTTCAAATAGTTGTAAGTCAATAATGGTTACCCATAGAGCCACTAATTTGTATTTTTTAAACATTGTCTTTTGTTCACTACTACATTTTGTGACAAACAAATCAAAATTTTCCAAATTAAAAATGTGACATTCTAATTCTTTGAACAAGAATAACTTTAAAATTGTAAATCTAATTAAATAAATAGAAGAATGGGTTCTGTTTTATTGGCATTTAAAGACAAATGTAAAAATCCCCACCCTAGCACTGAAAACCCAATAAAAAAACTGAGATATTTTGTGGTGCACGAGTATTACTGTAGGTCAATGTATGCTGGCTAAATCGTATACAATGTGGCATAATAGTTTCATAAGCACTAATAGGCTTACACCACAAAATGGTCATATCGATAATTTTGTATTGAATTTTCAATGTTCACACATCATTACATTTGTCTTCAAATTTCCAAGAAAAACAGTAGGCCTATTCTGGTGTTTTTTAATAAGATCCATGTTTTTCTGGATATTCTTGTTCAAAGAATTAAAATATCAGCCATTTTGAATTTGACATTTTGGAAAATTTAGATTTTTTACTTTTTTTAGTGATACAAGTATTAAAACCCTTTGAGCGCCATAAACCAATAGGCCTATATCGGCTTTTGTCGCAGTCGCGTCAAGAGCCGATATATCGGCTTTTGCCGTGGATGCGAATATGGCTGAGCGGCTATATATCCTGAGGTGAATAATATCGCCATATGTATCAAATGAAAGCTTATGAAATTAGGAAAAAGAATATATATTTCTTATATAGTATTGCATATAGTTTAGTAATACAACACAAGCGATAAGTCACACAGTTTAGAAGGCAGTGGCAGGACTGGCGCGCTGAGTTGCCAAATCACATGTTTTGGCACCATGCTGTCACTAGCGGCTAGTCCCTGCCCAACAAATCTGTTCGGGAGCGAAACTTCTACCCTCCCTCCAGCCCAGCTGTTATTTGGAGGCTTCTGATTGGCTGAGGGAACACCATTACTGCAACGATACGGCAGGATACCATCGGCCTCGGTGGTATAGTGAATAGAGTGCTGGGCTGATGAACTGAAAGAGCCGGGTTCGAATCTCACCCGTGGCCAGGGCTGCGTTAAGGGTCAGTGGAGCCCTGGGCAAACCCAAGAGCAGCGCCCCCCTTTTTTCCTAGTGCTGGCAGGTGGTGGTTTGGGGGCTCCCAGTGGGCGCCCCCAAACCACCAGCGCCCCTGGGCATATGCCCAGTCTGCCCGTTTATAAAAGTGGGCCTGCCCGTGGCACTATTATTTTGTCTCAGATTTTTTCATTATCAGCAAGTTTGGTTAGGTTAGGGCAGTTCCTGCAGGGGGCCCATGCTTGCGTGGGTACGTGGCCTGGCGACCACGCGGACCCTAGCTCTTGACCCCCAGAGGGGAGGTAACTGCCCGGTGTTGGAACCAGCACTCAGGTAGACCACAGTTATGGACGACTGGATGTGCCAGCCCCTTCGGGGGAGCCCCCAGTGACATTCCATCATCCAGGTTGGTGGGGTGTTCAGCTCTCAGTGATGCCGCTTTTTGCCGCCTCTCCTCATCTGCCTGTGGCTGTGGTTCTTGGGCTTAAGGCCTTTTCACACCGGGGTACTAACATTATGACGTGACTAACATTATGTGTGGCATATCCTCGGCTCTGGAAGTAGCCTTTCCTGGAGGTGAAATCGGGCAAGTACCCGTAAGCTCACGGGGACACTCTAGGGGAACGTAACTTTGCGCAGTGTGAGGGTAACGGCTGGGCGCACTCCATCAGCCAATCCCTGTCTCTGAGCCCGGAAGGTATGGTTATCTAGAGTGTGGGGGGTTTTCTCTGGAACCTCAATTGAGTTAAGGGTGTCGCCACCTTTGGTGGATAGGTTCATCCGGGTGGGTCCCACTTCTAAACCCGCCTCCTTTTGGGAAACCCTGAGGGCCTGGCAGTGATGATGGGCTTGATGGGCAAACAAAGTAGATCGGGTGTTGGGATCAAGCCCGCTAGGGGTATCTGGGGATCTATCGCCCTGGGTATCCCTGGTTTCCCAGCAATGGGATGGCCTCGATTAGGTAGTGGTGGAAATGGGGGGTCCCCTTCCTCCTGGCTTTGATGGCGGGTTTTGGCCTGTCAGGTATTGGATAGGTCCCGAGTGTTGCTTGCACTAAATGCGTCAGGGCATTTCATTATGGGCCTTCAGGTTTTGTACCTGCTGGTTCCAGGTGGAGTGATGCTTAACCAAGTAGCCGGTATCCCTGGTTAGGATTGAGGGGCAACCCTCTTTCCAAAGGGTTGCTTCGGCAGCCGGTGAGCCTGATGACCTTAAGTCATCCGCCTATGGTGTGCCAAGGTTGGTGCGTATGCTCCGGCCTACACCGTGGGGCCCGGGTATGTTTAATTATAGGTACCGGGTTTGTAGTTGAGGGGCTTCGGCTCTTTCAACAAAACAAAATGGAATGGAGGTTATGGCAGTTTAATTTTATAACTAAAACATTATAAAATTGAATTTGAACCATTTATAGTTCTATTTTATGAACAGAATTATTTTTTCGATTAAACCTTCATTTGATTTTTCATTATCAGCAAGTCTGGTTAGTTTAGTTAGGTTATGACAGTTTAATTTCATAATAAAAAATTATAAAATTGAATTTGAAGCATTTATAATTCTATTTTATGAATTAAACTAATTTTTCAATTAGTAAACCTCCATTATAGTCAATCAGAAGCCTCCAAATGACACTGTTGGCAAAACTAATCCTGGAATTAAAATTCAGCTGGAGGGAGGGTAGAAGTTTCGCTTCCGAACGGATTTGGTGGGCAGGGACTAGCCGCTAGTCCACGCTGTCTGGCAGTGTTTTGTTATGTACACAGTGAAGGGTTAAAACATCTGTTTAGTAGTTGTAGTAAACTTTTCACATGAATACAGTAGTCTTTTGTTGTTGAAGTGAGTAATAATGAGTCGTTTCATTGTAACGTAATGCGGGCGTGCACCCTGAGTGCTACATCAGTCACAAGTGTGCATAAGAAACAAAAACTAAGTTGTAAATATGTAAATACCCCCTTTTTCAATTTTTAATTCAAATTGTGTGTTCCTTTTAATTTTTTCAAGACTTGGTTCATTTTTAATTCTATAGTTATGATTTGCCATCTCCAGGACAATTTGGGATCCAGGTAAATGTTTAAAACTTATCATATTTTTAAAATGTTTTGTGTTTTGTAAAAATTCTATATAACGGACTGGTTTTTATATATAGATAAAAAAATTTATTTTATTTTTTAGGAAGGTGTAGAATGTGAAAATATAATATGTAAATAAGTGAAGAGTTTTGAAATTTCATCATACTGTTCAAAAATAGTTTATATATACTGTATATAAGTTAATTATTTGTATTAGGTACTATTTTATTTACAAGAGTTTATATATACTAGTGTACATGTTGCTCGAATTCGAGCAATTGTTAAGTATTACAGGATTTGCAAACCAATAAAATCATACTTAGCTACCAACATTTCAACAAAAACACGACCTACCTTCCCTGTAGCAGCAAACCTAAGTACTCATATTAAAATTAACTTAATGTTATTTAAATAGGGAAAAAATGACCATTTTCAGGGAATATCTTTGTATAAATTAAGCCAGGTAAATGGAAATTTGCTTAGTCTGAAGGTTTGCTGCGGATACACAATTTTAATAACAGCAAAGATTGAAGAATCTGAATTATTACTTATATCCATGAATTTATCTAACAATTATTTCCTGTAAAATATTATTACAGCAGTTCAAAAATATTGAAACAAACTCGATCAACAAATGATGTAACTGAAAGAATTCCATACTAATGACATTAACATATAGTTTGACAGTTCCATTTAATCAATGTTAAATGTTTACATTCGGGCATAGACAAAAATGATTCGGGCGAGTGACATATTTTATTAATGTTTATGATCCCTACCGTTCCTGTTCTAATAATCATGCAGTATTTAATATGTTTGAACCAGCTGTGTGGAATTGTGAAATCAAAATTAATTTGACAGTTAGTTCTGCTTGTTTACATTTTTAAATTTAATCAGCTTGAGCTACGTTTAGCAAAACTAAAATTCTTTTTGAAATTTTTTAACTTTTGGTCTATATATGGAGCATCAACCTCAGAAATAAATGATTCTAAAATAAAAACAATATCATACAAATTAATGAACTCTATAAAACTTAAATCATTCACCTTGGACTTTAACCCGCATAAATTGTAGGCCACTAATTTTAAACTACCTATCTTACTTAAAGTACTTGTTGAGTCCGTCCGACGTACTTCTGTGGCTGGATTGGCGTACACCCCTCAACCCCGCACTGCCTGGGAGTAGCTCGCTGTCCCTGGCCTCTGATGGCTGCTGTCGCTGGTCGCTGTCACAGCATCCCTTGGAGTCTCGCGCTGCCTCGTGGTCGGCCCCTCGTCCTCGGCTGCACGCTCCATGTCCAAAGGGGGATTTGCTAGGCGATTTATGAACTCCGAGAAGTCGTGGCGAAACATGGAATTCAGCTTTGCAACTCCGTCCTGCCTCCCTGCCATTAGCCTACCCTCCTCCCACGTGAACCTACACTTGTCTATGGTTAGGTGATCATATACCAAGGGCATCCGCCGGGTCCCCGCTACCCTCTCGACCTCATTTCGCACTGACACTCAAGGTTTACGCTTTACTCGCACCTCCTTTGGGAAATCACGGAAAACTGAATAACCCGTGTTTTTCAATTGTTTCACCCGAGTCATAATATAGTCAATGTCAGAGTCATAAGGCAAGTGAGCGATTATTGTATCTTTTAGGTTTCCTAGAGGGTGGGTCCTGTTAATACATACTTGATTGTGACCGAACATATCACCACAGAATTTGCCTACTATATACTTAAAGTCCGTTGTTCTTTCACCCCACTTCAGTCCCTTGAATATCAGATTGTTCCTTCTGGATCGACTTTCTAAATCTAAAAGTTTATCCATAATGACTTTATTTTGTCGCTTAAGGTCCCTTATCTGTTCATTTTGTGAAACGTTTTCTTCTTCCAAATGTGACACTTTTTGTGAGAGGTTAACCAAGTCAGATTTTGTGGCCAAATTAGACAATTTAGAGTCCAGGAGATCGGACATAACATCTCTGAGAGAAGATCTTAACTGTCCATTAGTTAACTCACCAACTTTCTCGTCGTCGTTCTCCATTATTCCCATCATCAAACCTGTAGAAGAATCCTCCGGTGATGCTGGCGAGGAACGCGATCTCGGACGTTTGACAGGTCTTCCCGAAGGCGAGAATTAATTGATTATCTTATTGTTTGTCATTAACACAACACTATGTTCGCTTAAATATCACTTTTGATGCCGCAAACACGAACCAGCGACGAGAATCACCGTAATGTTCACGACACGAACCCACGACAACTTTTCTGCCACTGACCACGTCGGCGATTTACCGATAACCTGTGGGACAGTGAATGTTACAAACACTGTGAGCCACGCAGGCGCAGACCTAGTAGTTCCCGATTTATATGCAGCAACGGTTAGTACTGCTAGTTCGCAAACATGTGCCTCGGTTACCTACAGACTGGCGCGTGAGCTTGTGATGATGCTTGTAGGTCTGGCTGCAGGCACCAGGCACCTTGCATGTGCGTCGCAAACATGGGCACATTTACCCACACATTGAGGCGCTTCCACGTCGAGCTGTTCGCGCGTCACATGTGCGCGCACAAACGCCCCAGTGTGTGGTCCGCTTGAAGTTGGTTGATTTAATAAATTGGCGTGCTTTTATCACAGGGGCGGCTCCAGAGGGCAGGCCAGGTAGGCCCGGGCCTACCAAAAATTTTGGTAGATATTTCAAAACTATAAATAAATTTTATTATATGTAAATAAAGGAAAATCATTCAAACTAATCATTTTTCATTTAATTTTAAAATTCCTCCTTTTTGTGGGGAAAGCCCTTCAAACCTCTTGTTCCCAATCAAACTCGTTCTTGATCCTTGTCAGCCCTACCCAAAAAATTATTCCTCGAGCCGCCCCTGTTATCACAGGCTAAAATATTACATTTTTTAATTATTTAGGTATGGATTTCAAGTACATTTTTCTACATTACAAAAAATATTATTTGTCTTTTTGTATTGATGAATTTTGAGGTAAAATAAGATATAGGCTAACAAACAAAGTTTCAAGTAGAGTAGCAAAATTAATAACCATAGACAATTAATATTAGGGCAAAGCTAAAATCCTACTAATAAAAAAAAATAAAGTTTCGATGTAGAGATGGATGTTTGTGACAAGTAAACGTGAAAAATACTAAACCACCCTCCATATATCCAAGTAGTAGTTGGTTGGAAGGGTTGAAATTTGGTATGATGATAGCTCACATTCCCACTATTAATTATTTTTGCATTTATGACATAACCAAATTTTCTTAAACCGTGTCCTTTCCCATTGCAATCGCAAAGCACAAGTATAACTGCAATTTAAGCATTTTATAACTATACGCCAACCCCGTACGAAGGACGGGTACCCTGCTAGTATAAAATAATCATTTTCTTATAGAAAATTGTTAACAATGTACTATAAAAATTCATTAATTCTTCGACTTACAACTCTTATTGCTTGAACTGGCAATTGTAAATTGCCAGGTTAAAATTCCCATCATAAATTGAAATTCCACTGAAACTTAAATAATAACAGCCAAAATTAGTTGTAAATAAAAGTGAGTTTCCTTTATATTGCTTTTAAAATGGAAACTACACCAGGCATGGCTTGGTCCCCAGGTGCTAATGGCACAATAAAAAGGCCAAAAGTGTCTTTTTGACCCTCGCTCATTTTCCAGCCTCGGCTTCTTTTTGATTTTAATAACTTAAGCTTGCGTGGAAAAGTGTAGAGATGAAATACACTATTATGAGGTCTAGTGAGTAATTTAATAACCCATAGCACGCCTACCATTCATCTCCTTCTCTCCAGTCTTGTAATCTTCTGTGAAACTCTGACATTTTCAAGTTAACTCTTTTTGATACAGGTTTGAAGTCAGCTAAAACTTGAGGAGACACTTTATTTGTATCAAAATACTTGAACTTGTGGTTACGTGAGACAATAACTGTGCAACTGCTGGATCCAATACTTTCTTCTAAGTAGTCAAGATCCCACTTTAGAGCACTCTTCACTAATTCTGATCCAGTGATGACAACAGGTTTCTGAAATTAAAAATTAGGTTAGGTAGTCTGTGTGATATTCAAATACTTTAGGGTGTTGGAAATGCCTGCCTTTTGTTATTTGTAATAGTCATACTACGGACGATGTGAATGTATAGTCCAATTTTGTTCCATGTCTTGTAAACATTGATGAGAAATACAGTTGCTTGTTTTATAGTTTAAATTAGTTGTTCATCGTAGTTTTAACTTGGATTTTCCCTAAACACCTCCACTTGCAAGAATAATTCAAGAGGTTATGGTCGCCAGCATCGTTTTATGTACATAACAGTGTTGGGAAATCTAGTCTACTACGTACAGTAGACTCCCTCTTATCCGGACTCCTCGGGACCAAGGCCAGTCCGGATAACGGTTTTTCCGGTTAAACCGATGTCCCCAAAGACTCGTTAAAACGGACCATCTAAATGCATACTGTATACAGTATTTGACTTATTAGGAGAGCATCGTATTTAGACTTGTGATCACCGGTCTCAAATCTTTCCCACGAGAACAGTCGTTTCAATACCACCCACTTCCTGCCGATCTAGTGAGGTTTTAAACCGATGTGCTGATAAAAATTGTCAAGTTAAAGAGATGTCATTTCCGCCGAGTGTAGTCCGGTTAAACCGATGTCCGGTTAAAAGGTGTCCAGATAATAGGGAGTCTACTGCACATGGTAAGAACAATTTATTCTGACACGATTTTCTGTACATTCATCAGGTGAAATATATAACCCTCCGTGAAAGAAGACTATCAACAACAAGTGGGTCTACCAAATAAAGCGCAATCCTGATGGAAGTGTTGACAAATTTTGGGCGAGATTGGTCATCAAAGGATGTGCGCAAAGACCCGGTATTGATTATGCTTAAACCTTCAGCCCGGTTGCGTGTCTGGAGGTCGTTCGATCAATATTGTCCATCGCAGCTGTTGAGAAAATGGTTCTACGGCAGTTTTGACGTCTCAACTGCGTTCTTGTACGGAGAAGTAGAAGAAGAGATTTTTATGAAGCAGCCTGAAGATTCAAATGGGACAAATCGTGTTTGTTGTCTTAAACGCAGATTATACGGCCTGAAACAGGCAACTCGATGTTGGAATAAACGGTTTGATGACTTCATGAAAGGCTTAGGATTTCGACAGAGCCGTGAAGATCCCTACGTATACATTTGTACTACCCCTGCTGGAAAAATCATTGTTGCACTCTATGTCGATGACGGATTAGTCGCAGCGACTACTCAGAATGAAATGGACTCATTTATTGGGCAACTTTGTTTACAATTTGAAATTGTTGCTAAAGAAGTGTCATTCTTTCTCGGACTCGAAATTATTCAAAGTGATGGTGATATATTGGTCTGCCAATCAGCGTATATCAAGAAGATAATTTCTCGATTCAACATGGAAGGATGCAAGCCAGTTACTCCCATAGAGAAGCTCACTGCTCAAACACCAGGGAAAGTCTCCGATTTTCCATACCGATCGGCAGTTGGAGCCCTACTTTATGTTGCTCCTGGTACTCGTTTTGACATTGCATTTAGTGTAAATATAGGTACCTAAATACAGGATAAATATAGGTATGCTGACAGTAAAGCACATCGGTACAGAATATAAACTAGCAGATATCTGACGAAGCCTATACAGTACCTCGACCTAGACTTCAATCCCTTGTGAGAAAATCTTGGACCCTCGGCATGACTATGCAAATAAGTGTTGAAAATGCATGTCTTTAGAAATTTGTAATAGCCTAAGTTACCTACTTTAAATTATGTGAATTTTTAGGGCCTAAATACTATCAGCTGTCTGTTTTGTTAGTCAAATTTTGTTCCATGTCTAGTAAAAATTGATGAGTAATACACTCGCTTGTTTTATAGTTTAAAATAAACTTAGTTTTTCATCGTAGTTTCAACTTAGATTTTTCCCTAAACACCTCCACTTAGGAGAATAATTCAAGACAGAGAAGACATCAACTAAGTCTATTTATTTAATTGTTAACTGTATATATTCACCCTAACTTACCAAACTTATTTAGGCCCTAACTTAGGCCTAATGTTGTCCGGGTAAATATCCAGTGAGCAAATGTTTATAAAAAATGGTTATTCGACCCAAATCTGGGTATTATTTACTAGCAGTGCTTATTTTATTTATTTATTTTAGCTTCCAATGGTCTAGAACCAAAATCGTGTACAATGATGACATCTTTAAGTTATTCTAACTTAACTTAGGCCTAATCATTACAAGTGACATGAGGCTATACAAATAAACTAGATAAGTCAGGGTGCACACAGAGAAAACCTCTACAACCTAGGGGAAGGGTGGGTTTAGCCTAATTTTTTTTAATTAGGGTGGAGTGGGGTAAGTGTAACCACGTTTTGGCATAGTTCAGCTTTGACCTCAAATTGCCATCTTGTTATACATGATATAGTTCTGAAAATTTGAATGCATAAACTTTGACTAATGGGCTTTAAAACAATATGCATTGTTATTGTTATATCTTTTTTGGTAAAAAAAATGACTAAAAATTTTGTGTTTTGTACACTTTCCCAGGGTTCGGGGCAAGTGTAACCCCTGCCTGTTAAAAATATATAAAGCATTGAAAAAGAGACATGGGGCAAGTGGCCAGATTCCAAATCTTTTGCTGATTCCAAGACTTTTTGACTTAGGCCTATTAAAATATCTTAATTTTTACTCAAGTTACGAACTTTTTCGTGAACCTCTTCTAGCGTTTTGTGAAAAACACAAAATATGCAAAACGGAAAGATTACTTACTGTTAAACATAAAAAACACAACATTAAATGGTACTTAAGATACATGGTTTTTAATGTTGTTTAACACTTAAAGTGCCGTTGACATGTTTGAACATGAAAATTGCATTTATTTCAATGTTAAGCAATGGCGGGAATTCCCGTCATCAGCACCCAACGTGTTAACATGTGTAGAATAAATCTCACAGTACGGTAATTTTTTTTTTTTATTTACAGTTGGGCTAGAAAATCCTAAATTATAAAACGGGGTAAGTTTAACGTAAAAGTTATATAATCACTGAAGCAGTTCACTCACAAACAATTATGTTTTTCTTCTCAAACCAACTTACATTAACTCAGTAACAATATATGTAAAATATTACCTTATCTTCTAAATTCCTAACTTTATATTTACAACAAAGTTGTTTTTTCTTTACTGGATATTATATGAGTTACACCCTGGTTACACTTGCCCCAAATCAAAAAAGCCACTTGCCCCGACTGCAAAATTTCAGGGGTAAGTGTAACCACGCTTGTAAAATCTAAACAATAGGAAATAGCACAGATCTGAAATTATATTCAGATTCTACATGCAAAAATTAGTTTGTAAACAAAAAACTGTCAAATTTACATTAAAAATGTGAGTATGAAAAATTGTCAAAGTTTGAGGTCGGCAATTGCTGATGGAGTGGAAATGTAAGCATTTTTTAAACATTCTAAAACTATTACTTGCACATATTTTATATGCATCTTATGGCTAAATATAAGTTAACAAAGGAAGGTCCAAGTAACAAGATATGATAGTATTTTGGTCCAAAATTATCTTATCAGTTGAGTGATAAGTTTAGCCGTGGTTACACTAGCCCCCCGGTTACTCTTACCCCACTTCACCCTAGGCATAGTAAAGGGTAGACTTCCGTATCTGTTGGCACAAACAGCCGAATGAAAATATTGATTGGTTAGTAAGGTAAGGGGGTAACCTAACCTAACTAACCAAATGATATATCGAATGAAACAATCTAATAATCGATATTTATTCGTTTGTTTTGGACAGATATGGAAGTCTACCCATTGTAAAAAGATAGGTTAATCTATGATCCCTAGTCTTAGTAGTCCTAATAATAGAATAGGCTAGGCACTTGGATAGAGGAATGTGAGGAAATGTTTATTTGGTTCTGATGTAGAGGGAAAAAATAAGTTACTCACATTTTGGGCAATCAGCTCATCGACTTTGGGGTCATCGTGAGATAACCTAGGTATGGGTTCTAAATTCATGTTGTAATAATCACGAAATTGACTTTGATCCCAAGTGTTTGTTAAGACTTTCCATGTCAATGACAGTGCTGAAGAAAAAGAGTAGCTCCACACATTAAATTCGGAATCTATTTATTTTTGCTGCCCATATTCACTTAACAACCCAACTAAAATCGTTGCTTATTATTCAACGGTACTAATTACTACACCTAACCCAATATTCCAACCCTGCCCACGTAAGAGTAATGCTCTTCCTTTCATCTCGTCAGGACGCATTAAACATAAAAAGTGTGGATAAGTTACGATGAACAATGACAACTACTACTGATACTGTACTTTATTTTTAAAATCAAAATCACTCATTTACCGGGAACCGGGAGGGCCTATTCCAATCACATAAAACGTCGTCGTCAAATCAAAACAAAAGCTCCATTAACCTAAACCCTGTTACTTTTACAAGTACACCAACACACTCGACGTTCTGTACCCACGGACAACTCTGCTTCCACATGCACATTGGAACAGTTCCTGGGATAACAGCTATTTGTTTGATAACTTCACTGTTTAAATTTCTTGGGGGGCCTGTTTCATAATAATTAACTACAAGTTACAAATTATTGTAATTTGTAATTTCCATTAGTAGATTTGCATTGGGCGATCAGCTGATTTACTAATAATATTGCAGTTAGTAGTTTGTATTTTCTTATGAAACAGGCCCCGGGTTAGATAGTCATTTCGGTACTTTCCTAGGGAACATTCATTACTATCGACATAGATAAAACATACTCCCTCGATGATTTTTAATCGAAATATCGATGATTTTTAACCAATATTTTTGTTTCCCTTTACGATCCATTAGAAATTTACAGCTGATCTTTAAGTTTATTTTTATTTTAAATAAGATTTATTTTAAAGAGTGACGATAAATTAAGTTAATTACCTTAATTAATGACGGAGTATTCATTTAAGAATTTAAGATGAAAATCATTTCATTTCATTTCATTTCATTTCATTTCAATTAATTATTAAAATACTTTTCAAGAAAACGAACTCTGGTGTAAAAAATGATCTTTAACATAAAACATCCTACTAATATTATAAATGAGAAAGTTTGGATGTTTGTGACAAGTGAACGCGACAAATACTGGTCGGATTGGGCTGAAATTTGGCATGATGATAGCCCACATTCCCGATTAACATATAGGCATATTCTTATTTCAAAAATCCTTTCGGGCTCCGCCCCAGTGGCTCTGGAGATTCCCATGTTAACCTTATGAGAAATGGAATTATTGAATCTTAACAGCTGTTTCAACTAAACAAGTTGGTTCTGTTCTATGATGTTCAATAGCATTAAAGTTACAAGGATTACCAACAGGGTGCAGCACTATTATTTCTTTTACATTTATGACAACAGCTAATTTAAATTTAAATTTAAATTAGTTTTTTAATTTAAATTTAAATTAAATTTAAATTAGCTGTTGTCATAAATGTAAAAGAAATAATAGTGCTGCACCCTGTTGGTAATCCTTGTAACTTTAATGCTATTGAACATCATAGAACAGAACCAACTTGTTTAGTTGAAACAGCTGTTAAGATTCAATTAATAATTCCATTTCTCATAAGGTTAACATGGGAAACCCCAGAGCCACTGGGGCGGAGCCCGAAAGGATTTTTGAAATAAGAATATGCCTATATGTTAATCGGGAATGTGAGCTATCATCATGCCAAATTTCAGCCCAATCCGACCAGTATTTGTCGCGATCTCTTGTCACAAACATCCAAACTTTCTCATTTATAATATTAGTAGGATGTTTTATGTTAAAGATAATTTTTTACACCAGAGTTCGTTTTCTTGAAAAGTATTTTAATAATTAATTGATTACTCCGTCATTAATTAAGGTAATTAACTTAATTTATCGTCACTCTTTAAAATAAATCTAATTTAAAATAAAATAAACTTAAAGATCAGCTGTAAATTTCTAATGGATCGTAAAGGGAAACAAAAATATTGATTAAAAATCATCGATATATCGATTAAAAATCATCGATAGTAATGAATGTTCCCTAGGAAAGTACCGAAATGACTATCTAACCCGGGGCCTGTTTCATAAGAAAATACAAACTACTAACTGCAATATATTAGTCAAATTGTACAAATAAGTAGGGTTATATATTTAGATGAAACTCTTAATCTCAGGGTTCTAGGAATGTGCCGGCTTAAAGTAGGCTTATGTGATGTTGGATAGGCATAAGCCTAATGTTCATCACAAGTTATGTACAGTTCAATTTACACTTTTGAAAAGAAGAAAGTTCAAATTTTGAATTTAGTAAAATGATAATTTAGGTTAAAGTTCAAAACGGCAAAAGTCAATAGAAATTTTGGAATGTGAGTATTTAGCAAAGTACTAGTTCAGTTTGATCTCACCCAAAAGTTTATAGTAGTCTTCTCCACAAATATATTTCTTGAGGTAGAAATGATATGTATTAAATAATTGAGAAAAATCTTGATATTTTAAATACTGTAAAGTTAAATCACCAATTAAAATTTTTAAATCATCTTCCTGTCTTGCTTCTTCATTACTTATTCTCAATTGAAAAAAAATCTTGATTCTTGATGTTCAATTTCATACATCTGTTTCAACAATTAGTTCACTGGTTTCTTGATGTCAATATTCACTGTTACTTTTATGATTGGTTGGTATTATATGAAGAGTATTTTAATTACATTTTTGAAAGTGAAAGAGAAGAATAATTTTGTAAAATAGTTCAAACTGTATAAATAACTTCCAGTGATTATAAATTTAGCTTATTAAATAAATGACAGTGTTTGATGAGAATGTGAAATATGGAAATATATTTAGAGAATTTAGATAATTTAGAGGTATGAATTTAGCTAATAGTAGGCCCAGGTATTTGGATACACAACACATGGTTTATTAACATTCAACTTATATACAAATTCAAAAGTAAACAATGAGGATAATTTTGGAACATCTCAAAGTACAATTGCCTCACTCGAGAAACCATTCCTCACTCGCCTACAGCTCGTGAGTAAGTATTTCTCTCGAGTGAGTCAATTGCTCACTTTTCTCACTAGTTGCACAAATAACTATTGCCGTACGGTTTATACTTTGCCGCACATCAGGACTCCAACGAAACAACACAAAACAGCGTGGTTCTATTATGCATGTAATCCGTGTACGCTTGGAAATAGGTTGGCAACGCTTAAAGATATTAATACTATGAGCAGCTGATTGACTATTATAACTACGATTTAACCTGTCATTTCGTGTTTATAGTTTCGGTATTTCTGAACTTTCTGGACTTTTCTTTTAGACGTTTTTAAAACATTCCTACGATCTTAATAAACAAGAAAATACCTTTAAAGCATTTTTTTAGGCGCGAAAACCACTTCAAATTACAAAAACATATGGAACTATATTCTCAAAACGTGGAGCATATTTCTTGCCGAGGAAAAATAGCGGAGTGATACGGACCGCGGGTACTACTTTCTCTAGGGCACGATTTCATTTGTGTCGCCAGCTGAACCTAAAAACGTGTTGTATAGTGTTTGAAAGACTAATTATTTATATGCTTTATAGTCACTGTAGGAAAAATATAATGTGTAACACGAGTGAAAAAGGTCTTTGCTGCACTCGAGATCATTCCGCCGCGTGCCTTTTCACCACTAGTTACACAAATAACTAATTAAGTAGCAGAGAACCCGTCCTTCGTACGGGATTGGTACTTAAGCTTTCCGTTTGCAATAGGGGAGGACAAAATTTGACAAAAGTTGCTTCTTTAAATTGTTCTTTAAATTGTGTTCTTTAAATTGACGGTACTATAATACTACATCTACCATAGCCATAATGTTCTACCACTTCACCTAAACAATAGAGAAACATAAATTATTAAAGTGTCGCAAAATATCAGAAATTATTCATAAAATTAAAAAAATAAACATAACTGTAAAGAATCCTATTTTGATAGTTTTCATTGTATATCACAGTTTTTTGGTACTGATTAGTTCAAATTAGCTGTTTTCATAAATGAAAAAAATACCAATAGTGCTGCATCCTGTTTGTAAATTTTATAATTTTTAATGCTTTTGCATATCATAGAAGGTCCGTGAAGTTGGCGTACCCATTATTAGTGTATCCACTTTTGATCATACCAATCGTTAGTTCATCGTTAGTTCTCGATAGTTCCCAAATTTTTTCGTTAGTTCTCAAAAAATAAAAAAGTTATAGCCGATTATAAGTGGGTACGCTAACTTCACACTTCCGGGTTCTAGCACGGGCCGTATTCTGAGGAGAAATGTTTACATCTATATACCAATCGTTAGTTCTTCGTTAGTCCTCGATCGTTCACAAATTTTTTCGTTAGTTCTCAAAAAATAAAAAAGTTATGAGGCATACAAAGTGGGTACGCTAACTTCACAATTGTACAATTTCCAGCGGGAACAGTTTTTTTACTATCTATATAAATAAAATTAGAGTTTTGTCTGTACATTGCTCAGAATTATATACTTTTAGGTTATTTTTACGTTTTTTACATTAAAGAAGCAGAAACGAGCCTTATCTCAATTTCTGTCTGTCTGTCTGTCTGTCTGTCTGTCTGTCTGTCTGTCTGTCCCTTTGTCTGTAACACTCAAGATGGCATTTTACGCAATCTTCTCCGTGAAAACCAGAGTTTATATCAAGATCCAAGTCATTTTAATATATTCACTGGATTGGCGAGAGTGTCTTTAGTGATTTAAATATAGCCTCACTACTTTGTAAATAAAATTACGGACGTTCAAAAATGCAATTTTGTGCGATTTTTGTCAAAATTTCGTTCAATTTTTATCACATAATCGTCTATGAAGTAACGAACAGCTGTTCGGATCAAGATTATATTTTCTAGCTGTCAATGACATGTTTACAAATGTTGTTTACAAATACCACAACTATTTCGAATCACGTTTTGAAAGCAAATCCCAACCAAGTGAGATTAAAAACGTTTTTCTTACATAACGGATTTAATTAATCGCAAGTGCAATAATATAGTCTAATAGTGTAACCGTAAATGAAATTAAATAACTAGACATCGTCCAAATCGGAACCAGAAATTCTTTGAGTATAAAATGTTTCTTGAGTTTTGACAACCAGAAAGAAGAAGACCATGAATCAGTGTTGTATAGGGCTGTGACACTGAAATGATCGTCGCCAATAGCTTACAAAAAAGGTTTCCACTCATTGACGGCGCTTCAATGGCGGTTGTGTAAAGTGTAAAGTAAAAAATCACAACTGCAGTGGGTGATTGTAACAGAGGTTTAACAGAGGAAGTACTAAACTCGCTTTTCTAATGTGTCACTTTCTGTTTCTACTCACCGTGTGATGCAATCGCTGGACCATACAGCCAATAGGCCCATAGCTCATATCTTGGGTACGTAAGCCTACATATTTATTCATAACAACCTTTTTGACGACAATCCTTGATACCGGTACTTTTCCATAGAATA